CCCCCCCGACACAAGGTTACCTCCTCTCCTTTTGTCTCCTGCTCACATACACCTGTGCACTGGCCCCAGGATGAAGGCTCCACTGGCGGCCGGGCCCCGGCTGGCCTTGGCCCTGCTGCTGCCGGCCCTGCTGGCGCTCCTGCTGCCGATCGGATCGCTGTCGGCGCCGATCACCACCAAGCAATCCGTCTGCGCCCTGGTTACCCTGGCCGGTGGCTCGCAGGAAATCCAGCAGCTCCCCCTGGTCCCGGAGGTGACAAATGTGATGTACATGCGGCCGATTGAGTCGCTGGCCATGCTGGAGGAGCACAATCTGGACTTCGTCCTGCACATGAGCCAAGCCTCGGACGCCTATCAGCTGGGCTCCACGGACTGGCACTTCCACCAGGACCGACTGCCTTTCCTGTGGCAGGATCCCCGGTGGGGGTCGCTCTTGCACAAGGACCCGCAGGGGGGAAGCCGTCTTCTCCTGGCAGGGCGCGAGGCCGGCTGGCCGGTGCTTCTGGTGCCGGTCCCGGATGACGCCCCGGTGCTCCTCCAACACTCCGACCTCGGGGCCAACATGCTGCCCAGCATCCCGAGCAGCTCCTTCATCCACGAGAACATCAAGGTGCTGGCCGCCACGGCCACCTCCCCCGGCCAGGTTATCATGCTCTTGGTGGACCTGGCCACCGACGCCACATGGCAGGTGCTGCTGTCGCCCACCGCCGAGCCCAGCTCCCGGGAGATAGTCCTCGGCAACAAGAAGCCCTCCACCCCCTGGCGCGGGGCCATCGCCGATGGGGCCCAAGATGGGGCCTTCATCGCGTGGGCCAGCCAGCAGCTACTGCATCTGACATGGGCCGGTGCCCAGGCGGATGTGGTCTTCACCATCGAGCCCGGGTGCACCATCCAGTCGGTGGTGCTGACGCGTCTGACCACGCCCCATGAGCAGGATCTGGCGGTTCTCTTTCGGGATGGGTCTCTGCTGCTGGTGCGCGGCTTCCGCTCGGCCGGGGCACGATGGGGCCCAAGATGGGGCCTTCATCGCGTGGGCCAGCCAGCAGCTACTGCATCTGACATGGGCCGGTGCCCAGGCGGATGTGGTCTTCACCATCGAGCCCGGGTGCACCATCCAGTCGGTGGTGCTGACGCGTCTGACCACGCCCCATGAGCAGGATCTGGCGGTTCTCTTTCGGGATGGGTCTCTGCTGCTGGTGCGCGGCTTCCGCTCGGCCGGGGCAGTCTTCCATTGGACCCGGCTGCCGGCCGGGGCCCCGGCCACCGGGACCCTGGTGGCTCCCGAGCCCCGGGGCATGACCGCCCCCCTGGGCCGACTGCTGTACGTGGCACCCAGGGATCCCGGCATCCCGGCCGGCTATCAGAATACCTGGCAGCTGTCCTGGGCCCCGGCAGCCGGGGCCCCCCCGGCCGACATGTGGCAATGGGAAAAGCTGGACCTGCCCGGGCTCAGCTCCGGTGTGTGGCCTCGGTTCTTCCGCCACCGAACCATGCAAGACTGGCTGCTGGAGGCCAACGGGTGGCTGTACCTCGGGCCCAGCCAATTCGAATGCGCCATCGACCACACGATTGTCTGCTCCACGGCGACATCCAACACGGGCTGGCTGTGCCAGTCGGGCCGGGAGCTGTCGCCCATGGTCTTCGACCGGAGGCTGTGCACCGGCTGCGTCGATGGCAGTGCCCTGCAGCCGACAGATCGGAAGAGCACACGTCTGTGCCAGTCGGGCCGGGAGCTGTCGCCCATGGTCTTCGACCGGAGGCTGTGCACCGGCTGCGTCGATGGCAGTGCCCTGCAGCCGACGCACCTCTCCGCCTGTGCGTTCCCCTCGCTCCGGGGCTTGCCGCCCCCCCCCCTTACGTTTTCCTCCCTCGCTGTTTTTGGTGTTGCCACGCCCCCCCTCCCCCCGCCCCCCTCCACGGTAGATGCGCTACTGACATGGATTCTCCGGGCGACGCTGGAATGGCGCCTCTCGCACGCCCTTCCCCACTGCCCCGCTCCCGCCCGCGGCAGCTGCCTGCCTGGCGTGCGTCGTCCGTGACTGCCTGGTGTGCACGCCCGACCAGCAGTGCCTCATCTGTGCCAAGGGGTTCATGCTCCTGTCGGACAGGTTCACCGGGCAAAGCAGCTGCGTGGAGACCTGCCCCGCCGGGACAACCGCCTCCGATGGGGACCTGTGCGCTTGGGCCCTGAAAGCCTCGATCATGCCCACACCCAGCAGCTTTACCGGGCCCCAGACCGGGTACCCGGAGCACACCCGGCTGGCAGTGCAATCCCCCCTGGGGGTCCTGCCATCCGGGACGTTTGTCCTGAACACCGACCAGCAGGGCCGGCCCCATGGAGTGCTGATCCTGCCCACATCGGAGGCTGGCCCGCTGGCCATCTCCCAGTCGACCGGCCCGGCCGGCCCCATCCACGCGTCTTTCATCTCCACCCAGTTCATCCCGGCGAATACCCTGGGCGTGGTGAGCCTCGGGCCGACCCTTGTCAGCGGGTCCATGGTGCTGGTCACGGCCGCCTGCGTTGGGACCCACATCGCACTGACCCAGTGGCGGTGCAGCAGCCCGGTGGGATCCCCCGGGCCCGGCACATGCGAGCCGAATGCCACCACTCCGCCCACCCATGGGCTCCCGTGTACGGACATCCGCCAGACGGACGCCACGGTGGCGGTGGTGCGCGGGGCCGGCGCCGATGTCGCTGCCTTCTTCCTGTTGTACCTCGTCACCGAGGAGGGCACCCTATCGGCGGTGCACCGGCGGCTGCCATTTGTCATCCGGCCGGCCGCGGCGCAGCACGCCTTCCCGGTGGTGTTCCCGGCCATGGGCGGCACCCGGCGGTGGGTGCTGCTCCCGGCGGACCCCCTCGGCCGGATGGGGCTCCTGCCGGTGGACATGCTCCAAGAGCAGGACCCCCGCCTGGTGGAATACCCCTACGACGCGCTGAGGACTCTGGATGAGGCGCAGCTGGGCCTGGCCACCGGCCGTCGAGACTGGCTGGTGCCGGTGGTGCTGAGCACCGACTGGCGGTCCAGCCAGCATGCGGATGCCCTGGTGACCGGGCTTTTGCCGGATCAGGCCGGCGGGTCGATCTGGCTGGCCCGGCACCTGCCCGGCATGATGCGCCCACATGGCCGGTTCCAAAGCATGCCGGCCCGGGACCAGATCCTCCTGCGGCTGCCGGGGGTGGTCCCGGGTGGCCCCACCTCCTGGCGCGTTCTGTCGATGGACCTGGGCATCGGCCCGTATCCGAGCATGATGATGCTGCTGGCGCCGGGCGGCCGGGTCTTCGTCAGCCTGCTCTTCTGCCAGGCCACCGGCGTGTGGCCGGTGTGCGCGCTGGAGCCGGCCCTGGAGCTTGGCCTCCTGCCGCCCGGGGCCGCCAGCCAGCTGGACGCGGTGTCCCTGGTGCGCATGCCCACCCCGGAGGAGGATACCACCGGCGGCGGGCAGGCGGCCGTCGCGGCCGATCCGCCGATCCGGCAGCGGCTCTTCATCTCGTCGCCCCATTCCAACGGCCTATTGGTGACCCTGTCGCTGGGGGAGTGCCCGGCCGGCAGCCACTGGACCGGCTGGGGGGGATGTCAAATGTGTGACCACATGTGCCTGGAGTGCGATGGCCCGGGCCCAGGAAGCTGCCTGAGCTGTCGGTATGGGGGGTCCACGCCGGCCGGGGGGTCTGGCACATGCGAAGCCGTCTGCCCGGCCGGGCAGTATGTCGGCCCGGATGCCTGCCTCCCCTGCCCCGGGGAATGTGCCACATGCATGGCCCTGGGCCCGGTGAATGACCCGCGGCCCGGGTGCACTTCCTGCCCGCCGGGCTTCCTGCTGGACCCGGGGGCCGGGGGCCTGCCGGGGCCGGCGGGCCTGTGCATGCCCTGCAGCCCGGCATGTGCCACTTGCACTCGGCTCGATGATGACACGGCCTGTGATGCCTGTGCGGCGGGGTACTTCCGCAAGCGCGGCGGGGCCTGTGTGCTGGCATGCCCGGATGGCGAGTTCGGGTCGGCCGACTCCGGCCAGTGTGAGCCCTGCTCGGCCGGGTGCACCGCCTGCACCGAGGCCCAGGAGTGCACCCGCTGTGCCGAGGGCCGCTTCCTCCAGGGGGGCGTCTGCCCTCGGTGTGATGGATCGTGCGCCGCCTGCACCGGGCCGGCGGCCTGCACCGTTTGCCAGGCGGGCCTGGCCTTTGAGGACCCCTCCCCCGGGCTGGCCAGCCTCTGCACCGGGGTCTGCCTGCCGGGGGACTACCTGCCGGGTGTTCCGGGCCCGGGGGACGGGCCCTGGCGATGTGCCACCTGCGCCGGGACTTGCGATCTGTGCGCCGAGACGCCGGATGCCTGTCGGGTGTGCGCCGCGGGCCACCGGTGGGCCGGGCCCTCGGCCCCGACCGGCCAGGCCACCGGGCCGTGTGTCCCCTGCCCGACCGAGTGTTCCTCCTGCACGGTGGGCCTGGGACCCGGGGCGCCGGACCGGTGCCTTTCCTGTGGGGGGGGCTGGTTCCTGACGCGCGAGGCCGCCTGCGTGGGGGCCTGCCCGGCGGGCATGTTCGGCGACCTGGCCTCCGGCACATGCCAGCCCTGTGCCGTGGAGTGTGCCCAGTGTGGCGGCCCGGCGGCCGACCAATGCACCGAATGTGCCGGCGGGCTGGACCTGGTGCCGGCCGGGGCCGGGCAGACATGCGTGTCCGGCTGCCCGGCCGGGCAGTACCGCCAGCCCGGCACCGCCGACTGCCATCCCTGCAATGAGGCCTGCGCCGAGTGCAATGGCCCCTCGGACCGGGACTGCTGGCGATGCACCGGTCTGGTGCTGCAGGATGGCGAGTGTGTGCAGGAGTGCGCCGCCCGGCATGCCCCGGTGGCGGCCCGGTGCCTGCCGTGCCATCCCTCCTGCGGGGCCTGCTCCGGCACCCGGAGCACCGACTGCCTGACCTGCGGGTCGGGCCTGCTGGAGCTCGGCACCCGGGGCGTGGACTTGCGCTGCCTGGCGTCCTGCCCGGTGGGGTTCTCCCCGGCGACCGGGGCCGCGGCGTGTGTCACCTGCCCGGAAAATTGCGTGCGGTGTGCCGGTGCCGGTGCCGGTGCCGGGTCCTCGGGCTCCACATGCGACCAGTGCGCTCGGGGGTGGCTCCGCGCGCCGGCCGGGTCCGAGGACGGCCTGGCCTGTGTGGACACCTGCCCGGAGGGGACCTTCCCCTACAGCGGGGCGTGCAGCCGGTGCCATGACACCTGCGGGGCGTGCTTCGGCCCGGGGCCCGGGCACTGTTGGGAGTGTGCGCCCGGGGCGCCGCTCCGGGCCCCGGATGACACTTGTGTTGGTGTCTGCCCGGCCGGGTCGTTCGAGGCTCCGGCTGGGTCGTCGGACTCCCCGGCCGGGGCCCGGTGCCAGGTGTGCCATGCTTTGTGCGGCCCCGGGTGCACCGGGCCCGGGGATGATGCTTGCACGGCGTGCCCGCCGGGGCGCCTGCTGGCCGGCGGCCGGTGCCTGACCGCCTGCCCGGCCGGCAGCTATGCCACTCCGGAGGCCGTGTGCCGGGCATGTGCCCCGGAGTGTGCCCAGTGCGCCGGGCCCGAGGCGGCCGCCTGCACGGCCTGCCCGCCGGGGCGCTTCCTCACCCGGGCCGAGCAATGTCTGGACACCTGCCCGGGCGGGGAGGCCCCCTGCCATGTGTCGGGCCGGTGTGTGCCCTGCCCGGCCGGGTGTGCTGGGTGTGTTGTTTCGCCGGCCAGCGGCCCGGCGGACCCCTGCGCCGTGGAGTGCGTCGCTTGTGACGTGGGGCTGGTGCTGTCCCGGTCGGGGGCCTGCCTGGCCGGCTGCCCGGCCGGGGAGTTCCTGCCCACCGGCGGCTTGGCATCCGCCGGGCCGTCGGTATGCGCGCCATGCCAGGCCCCGTGTCGCACGTGCACCGGCACGGCCGAGCGCTGCACCTCCTGCTCCCTGCCCGGGGAGGGGTGGCTTGTGCCGGAGGCGGGGCAGTGCGCGGAGGCGGGCTGCCCGGCGGGCCGGGCGCCGGTCAGCCGGCCGGCAGACCCCCCGGGCATCGGCCCGGCCCGGGTGTGCCTCGCGTGTCCCATCCACTGCGAGGTGTGTGAGCGCGCGGCCAATGGCGACTTGCCGGCCGACCAGGCGGCCTGCCGGCTGCCGGCGCCGGCCGCCGAGTTGGTCTGCGCACCGGTGGTCTCCTGTGACCGGTGCCAGCATGGGTACCTGCTGCTGCGTGGTGGTGGTGGTGGTGGCGGTGGCGACGGCGGCGGTGGTGCGACCACCTGCGTCGGCGACTGCCCCCGTGGGTATTACGCGGCCCTGGGCACTGGGCCGGCCGCGGTGGATGCGTGCCTGCTGTGCGTGGCCGGGTGCGCGGCCTGCGCCGGGCCGCTGTCGGAAGATTGCACCGAGTGGGCGGGGCTCTCGCCGAAGGGTCGTCTCGGTGCGTGTGTTGTCCTGGGGGGGGGGGGGGGACCTGGGCCCTGCCATCCTCCGGTCCTTTCTGTCCTTTCCTTTGGTTGGCCCTCATCTCGTGCCTCTCTTTCCGCGGGTCTCGTGGCCGTGGCCGCCTGCTGACGGTGATGTGGGGGAATCCCCCCCCCTCCCCCCCTCCGATGGCCGGCATAGCTGTCGGCCTGGGCGTCGGCCTGGGGATCCTGTTCCTGTTGCTCCTGATTCTGGTGGTCCTGGCGCTGGTGTACTTCCTGCGTCGGCGCAATGGGGCCAAGCCGGCGGTACGTGTCGCGCGCGCGCGCCCTCTCCCTCCCCCTCCGTCTCTCTGCTTGCCTTCCTTGCCGGCTGCCTCGCCCTCGGACATGCGTCCTCCCGGCATGGGCCTCACCCTGGGGCGCGAAGGGCGGCGGCCTTCTACGATCTCACAGGCCCGAGCACACACCCAAACGTTGCACTGACACGATGACGACAATCAACAATTCCCCCATGCGCACCTCCATTCGCCATGCGCGTGCCATGGTGGCGGCCGGGGCCACAGGGCGACGGTGACGATTTCGGTGCGTCACTCTCCTCCTCCCTCTCCTCCTCCCCCTCCCGCGCCCCGGTGCCGGGAGCTGTGCCACCCTCTTTTGCCCTGGCCGCCGCGCCTCGGCCGGGGCCAATGCCGCGTCACTGACATCCCCCGCCCGGCTGACAATCGCTCTCGCGTCGCCCAGACTCCACCGTGCTGAATACGATTGTCGGTGCGTTGAGGCCGCTCCCAGTGGTGTCATGCGCAGACGCTTACCCATGCGCGCGCGCACACATGGTGCATTCGCTTTTAACACTTCGGCCATGTGCGCACAGAGCTTTCCCTGCCCGGAAGTATCCTGGTCAACATTGGGGCTGATTTTGCCCCCCTGCCAGGCGAGAGCCTCGGTGCGGGGACGCAGGCGTCCGTGTATGCGGCGCGGGCCGTCGGTGCCGGCATCTCGGACCGCCTGGCCTGCCCGTCCACGGTGGCCATCAAGCGCATGAAGGGTACGTCCCTGGCGGGCGAGAGGGGTCCTGCCTGTGGCCGGGCGCGGGCCGGCACTAACTATCTTCATCTCCCCCCTGCCTGCTTTTTTCTCTGGCTTTTGTTCCTGTCTCTCTCCTTCTCTCCTCTCTCTCCTCTCTCCTCTCTCTCTTCTGTCTCTTCTGTCTCTTTTGTCTCTTCTGTCTCTTCTGTCTCTTCTGTCTCTT